TGTGTCCTGGTGGGAACTTGCCAACAAACCAGTGGCTGGAACAGAGCAAGCAGGCGAGAACCACAGGAGTAGGGAGCGGGTGCCAGCTGGCATCTTCCAGGACCCACAAAGCCACCTGCTTCCTCTCTCTCTTCTCCCTGCCAAAGCCTCTTCCCCAACACCCAGATCCTTGAGCCTCGTGGCAACACCAGCTTGGGACTAGCCTTGCTCTCCCTCTTTCCCTCATTCCAGGCTTTATCCTCCCAGTTGTTGTGATTTTGGCAAGGCCAGATTTCCCCGTAGCTTTGGATAAACCCGGGAGCAAGAGCAGAGACTGTGGGTTGTAAATGAGGAAGGCTGGGAGGTGGGCAGAGGAGGGCGACCGAGGGAGATCGTGGGTCTGACCATCAAAGCTCATGAGGAGCACTTGAGGGAGCTGGAGATGCTTCACCTGGAGAAGAGAAGATGGAGAGCTGGCGTGATGGCCATCGTCAGATAGCCGAGGGGCTGTCACATGAAGGCGGGAGCAAGCTTGTCAAGGGCAGGACCCCAACCAAGCGATTCAAATTGCAAGACAGGGAAGGACGGCTGAACATTAGGAAGAACTTTCTTAGGCCAAGAGCTGTTTGACAGTGGTGGGCTCTCCTCCTTTGGAGGTTTCAAAGCAGAGGTTGGATGGTCGTCCATCAGGAAGTCTTTAGCTGTGACTCCTGTTTTGCAGGGGGTTAGACTGGATGACCCTCAGGGTCCCTTCGAACTCTACAGTTCTATGAAAGCCTCTTCCCCCAAGAGCCAGATTCTGGAGCCTCATGGCAACATTGGCTTGAGACGAGCTCCTCTCTCTGCCTCATCTAAGGCCTTCTCCTCCCAGGGTTGCGATGACGGCAGTGCCAGGTGTCCCCAAAGAGCTTTGGCTACACGGAGGAGCGGAACGGGAGCAGGAACTGGGGGTGGCCAATGCAAAAGACTGGACAGCTCCCCGCCAGATCTCGGCAGGCCCTGGAAACCTCAGCCTCCTTGCCTTGAGGAGAAGGGACCTGTCCGGGCTCCAGAGTAGAGGAGGAGGAGGAGGCAGCAAGGGTGAAAAGAAGGGGATAGAAAGCACGGAGGTGAAAGCATTTGTCTGTTTTGCAGGGGGGAACAGGCCAGACAGTGGCTGCATTGTATGCAGAGGAAGGGCCTGAATGGAGCTTGGAGGGACACAAAAAGCGCTTTGACAATCAGGAGTTCATTAGTATGCGCAGAGGGGAGCCTCGCTGCCTCTATCTCCCCCTCTCCATCTTTCTCTCTCTGCTTCCAAAGAGGCTGCGCTCTGTGTCACAGAGAGGTGAGCCATGCAGAAAAGAAGAGTGTGAAAGGGATTTGGGAGGGAGGTAAAAAAAATTGGAGGGGAGACAGAGAGAGAGAGAGAGAGGCTGGGCAGCCAGATGCACAGAAAGAGCCCAGCCTCTCTTTGTTACACGAAATAATGGAATTTTTGGCAGGTGGCTCTTGAAAAGGTGCAAGAGGGAAAAAGGTCCTCTGGAATTCTGAAAGGTTTGGGAGGGCAGCTTCCTTCCTCTGCAGCCACTCTGACCTCCCCAAGGGGATTGGGGTGAGCAGGGGGAAAGAAATGAATCAGGCGGGGTCTCCATCGTCTGGGCCTGATCCCATTTTATTTCCTGTTTCCTTCCCTCTTGTCCGAGATCTTTAAGGAAGTGTCTCCTCGATGAACATCTTGCTAGAGGTGTTTAAAATGCACAAGTCACCTTCAGGTTCTATGGGTAAAAACTAATTCACCATGACCACCAAGGTTCCTGCAAATTCCTGCAGAATTTGCAGAGCAGAGGGACTCTGAATGGACACTGAATTTTGCATCAGGAGGGAGGAAGGAAGTTCTTTGTGCAGGAATCTGTGATGGCCAACACTTTGGATGGCTTTAAAAGAGGATTGGATAAATTGAGGGAGGAGAGGGATCTACGATAATAATAAAGTACATCATTTCAATAAAGAGCTCTAAGGGGTTGATGGATGAGCAGAACTATTTTGAAATACAAATCTGGCTGGCAGATCCTAGCAGCCTTGTCAGGTCAGAGGTCAGCTATCAGATGGTCAGAATCCCAGAATCGTAGCGATGGAAGGGATTCAAAGGGTCACCTGGTGCAACCCCCTGGAAGGAAGGAAGGAAGGAAGGAAGGAAGGAAGGAAGGAAGGAAAGTGCTGAGAGTGTCATACTGGGACCTAGAAGAGACCAGGGCTCAAATGCCCATTCTGGCCATGAACCAGAGTCATTCCCTCTCTAAGCCTAACCTGCCTCACAGGGTTGTTGTGCAGGATTAAATGATGAGGGAGAGAACCATTTACGCCAAGCTCCTGGGAGAAAAACAAGTGCGATATCAGGAAGAATATCTTGCAAGTGATTCACAACTGATTCACAGATGGAACTCCCTGCCTAGTGAGATCAAGCAGGCAGCTGCTCTGTACTCTTTCTGGTGGCTGCTAAAAACAAAACCCTGTTTAGACAAGCTTAGAAAAGTGAAGTAATTTTAATCTGTTTCTGTATGTTAACTTTCCTATGTTTTAAAGGAGGGTTGCGGATTTTTCTTGATTCTACTGTTTTCTCTTCGGTAAATTGCTTTGAGTTTTGTTTGTTTGCTTGCAATTTAACAGTGTGTAAATTCCATGATGTGGATGAATAAATAAATGTTTCAAAGTAGTGAGGTGTTTTGCACGAGGTGGAAAGCCCTGGGGCGATACACACTTAGAAAGTTTAAAATGTGGGCTGACTTGAGGCTTTTGAAGAGAAATTCCGCCCAGAAAGTCTCCCCTAACACACCTGCTCTGAAACTTATCAGAGACCGAGAGAGAGTAAAGGGGCAACCTTCGCACTGGCTAGGAAGAAGTTTGAAGCAAATGAGGGGGGGGGGCTCATTCAGCTTAAAACTTGCCGCTGCTCTGACCCAGTGCAGCTGCCCTCACTTTCAGGAAGGAAGTCTTCCCCACCCTTAGCTGGGACCTTCTGTATGCAAGGCAGCTGTTCTGCCACTGAGCTGCGGACCTTGCCTGTAAAATAAGCTAAGATGCCAGTCCTCATGGTTCTGAACCAAGGGTTGAAATAGGAATGCAGGAAGCTGCCTTTGCCGAGGCAGACCAGCTGGTTCCTCTAGCTCATAGGTGTCTGCACTGACCAGTAATGACACTCCCGGGTTTCGGGTGGGAGACAATCCCAGACCAAGCTGGGGATAACCTTCTGGAGGCAAAGCAGCTGCTCTCCCACTGCGCAAGGCTTCCTTGCCGAACCGGCTTGCAATGGGCTTTTGAGGCATGGCTGCAAAGGGGGTCATTACAGCCCCAACCAGAGGCCTCAAGAGTTCAGTTCCAAAAATATTCAGGCTGCCAGTTTTGAACCCTCACTCAAGGCACCCGCTGTCCAGATAACTGTTTTCCTTTCCTGCTGGTGAAGGATTCCAGCTAAGAGCTTTTCAGCGCTGGAGAAGGCTGCCTCAGGGAGTTGGAGGTTCTTAAGCCGAGGTTGCATGAGTGTCTGTCAGGGGCTTGGGCAAAATGACCCGGCCAGGACCCCTCCTAACTCTGAAAGGCAATTCAGAAGAAAAACTAGCACTCACTTTTTGCTGGCAAGTTTTTAAAGGGAGGCTGAATGGCCACCTGTCAGGGGTTATTTAATTGTGACTACTGCACTGCGGGGGCTGGGGGGTGGACTAGATGTCCCTCGGGGGTCCCTTCCGACTCGACAATTTCACGAAGAAGGAGAAGAAGCTGGCAGGGCAGAGGAGGCAGAACGAACTCCCGGGAACATGGAATGCCAGGCTGGCAAAGCTCTGTGAGAGAAAGCTCTGTGTGTTTCCCACATGCAGCATCCCACACAGGCATGCGCCCGCTCTCGTTCTGAGCGCCCAGCTGAGCACCCTGAACCAAGTCAGGGGACACCCAGAGATGAAGCCAGAGGGACGGAGTGAGACGGGGGACTTCAGCCCTCCAGGAGGAGATGGGGCCAGCCAAGGAATAAACACGGCTGGCGGGGATTAAGGTGGGCCACTGAACTTGCCAAGAAGAGCTCAAGACGGGAGAGAGAGATCATTTGCTACAAGATTTTCCTTGTTTCCCCGCTGTCAGGATGTATCCGGTTTTGGAGGTGGGATGTTTAATAATCTGCCCTGCAATCTCTAGCAAGCAGCCGGGGTGGCAATTCAGGGTGCACAAACCTGTCACTTTTGGTCCTCATTTCCTCAAAATTTAAATTCACATCTCAGTATTCCTGCAGCAATTTGTTTTTCAAACACGAAAATGGGTTAGTGCCCAAGTGCAAATTGCTCCAAATAAAAAAAACTTTTTTGCACGCCGTTTTGACTAAAGTTCATATTTTCTGCAAGCGTTCCCCAAATACAATGCAGTTTTGCATTCTGAAGTGCACTGTTTCCAAACATACGCATCTTTGGACAACTTCTTTGGCTGGAGAAGTGGTTGCAAAATTCAGAGGGGCGCAAATCCCAAAGGGCGGGTTTCGTGTGTTGGATCAAGTGCATGTTAGAGAGTTTCTCACTAAAATGCATGCCAAAAATTATTTTCTCTCCCCCCCCCCTGAGTTGCAACAGGAAGTTAGTGAAGTCCCCGAATCCACCCAGACATTTTGCTTGCCCCAGTGGCGTAGCGTGGGTTGTCAGCACCCAGGGCAAGGCAAGTAATTTGCGCCCCCTAACCTGTGGATTTGCGCCCCCTAACCCGTGGATTTGCGCCCCCTAACCCGTGGATTTGCGCCCCCTAACCTGTGGATTTGCCCTAACCCCAGATGTTGCACCCGGTGCGGCCGGCCCCCCCCTGCACCCCCCACGCTACGCCACTGGCTTGCCCAGAGGGGTCTCTCCTTCGCAAGTGGTCAAAGAGGAGTGCAGGTGGGTAGGACTCCCGAGAGGGAAACTCACTACCTGTGGAGCATCTCAGGAAGTCCCACTGTCCACCTGCTCAAAGTCCAATCACCCTCCCCACCATCCTGTTGTGGCTTCCACCGTTTCACAGAATCTTACCTTGAGTCCAGCAAAGGTCCGAAGAGCAAAACTGGCCAAGGGTCAGGGTTCAACCGGACTTTTCGCCGAAGGGAATCTGAGCTAAATCGACGTTGCTCCTTCTTCTCGTCCCGCTGCCCCTGTGTGTGTGTGTGTGAACTCTCTCTTGCACACACGTCCCAAACCTGGGGCTCCAAGAGGCAGGATTCAACCACAGCTGCCAACACAGGGGCTCGGAGGCTTCTCGCAAAGGCTTTTAAATTCAGGACCCACCATCAGATAAGAGAGCTGCTCTGAAAGGCTGAGTCTGCCCCATAGATTTTGTGCCCCTTTCCCCTCTCTCTCTTTCTTTTTCTCCCTTACAAAACTTTGCTCAAGTTCAATTGAATGAAAGGATTTATTTTGTTTTGTTTTTTTAAAGCAGGGGGCGGAAGAGGGAGGTGATTGACGTCTTCGGCAGGCCTATCGCAGGAGGGCAGTGGCAAGGGACAATGGCGAGAGGTGGAGCTGTGCAGAGTGTAGAAGAAAAGGGGGGGAGAGAAATCTGGCAGTGAAAGGTGGGAGGGGAGTGGGCACCAACAGGCAGAGCCGGAGGGTTAAAGTTTGAGAGGCGAGTTAATGAGATGGAAATCAAATCGCTCGCTGGGGATAGGGTTGCCTCCCTGCCCCAAACCCTCTGTGTTAAAAGGTCACAGGACAAGGGAGAGGAGAAGGCAGAATGAAAGGGGGAGGGAGAGGCATATTAATTACAGCTGGATTTAAAAGGCACATGAATACTGTTGCAGAGGGAGCACCCGTCCGTGGAGGTGCAGCGCTAGAGGTGGCGGCGACAGAGGACGACACCTGCGCTGAGCTGTGAACAGATTAGTCCTTCCCATCCTTTTGGGACCTGCGTGAGGTTCCCACGACACCCGGCCTCCCCCCCCCCAAAGACCTCACAGGCACCAGTTGTGAAGCAAAGGAGGAAAGCAATTTTTTAGTGCGGCAGAACCGACCCTTTGGAACTCCCTGCCTATGGACACCAGACAGGAGGCGCCTTCGCTGAATGCTTTTTGGTGCCTGCATGAAACATCGTTGTTTAGGCAAGACTGTTGATGTAGGTTCCATCTGTTCTTCGTTTATTGCTGGTTTTTGTCTTTCGAATGTTTTAAAAGAGCTGCTTTTACTGGTGATTTCATTGTTTTAAGCTCTTAGCGAACCACTTGGAGGGGTTTGGGGTTTATTATCCTTATTAAAAAGTTCTACACTGGGCTTCATCCGAGGATCACAGGGTGTTTTATGATATACCGTATTTTTCGTCCCATAGGATGCACCGGCCCATAGGACACACCTAGTTTTTTTTGGGGGGGGGAAATAAAGGAAATTTTCCCCCTTTATTTCCCCCCCCCAAAACCAGGTCGGGGAATCCAAACCAGGTCGGGGAACAGCGGAACATGAGAACGGGCCTTTTCTGCAGCGACTCCCCACTTGTGGCATGCTCTCCCCAGGGACGCTCGCCTGGCACCTTCACTGCAGATCTTTAAGTGCCGGGCAAAAACATTTCTCTTCTCTCAGGCCTTTTAAACTGTGGGTGGGAGGTTATTGTTTTAGTTTGTTATTATGTTATGTGGTTTTGTGTTTTTACCGTATTTTTCACCCTATAGGACGCACTTTTCCCCCTCCAAAAATGAAGGGGAAATCTGTGTGCATCCTATGGGGCGAATACAGGCTTTCGCTGAAGCTTGGAGAGCGAGAGGGGTCAGTGCACACCGACCCCTCTCGCTCTCCAGGCTTCAGGAAGCTACCTGTGGGAGTTCCCGCAGGGTTCCCTAGGCTGCAGACAGCAGCCTGCTTGCGAGAGACCTACAAAATTACGCATTTTGTGGTTTTCCCTATGACTAAAGGACCTGGGTGTTGAACTTTAAGGTTATTGTTCTGGGGGAACCAAGGGACTTAATTGAACCTTCAGAGTACAACAGGTTTCTTGGCTGCGTTCTCCTTCCTCTTGTTTCAACATAGTTTGCTCCAACATTTCACTCTTTTACAAAACACAAGATTGTAAGAAGAGCCCGTCTGCTGGATCAAGCCAGAGGACCATCTGCTCCAGCCCCCTGTTCTCACAGCGGCTGACCAGATGCTTTGTTTGGGAAACCCATGAGCAGGATCCGAACCCAAGAGCAGCCCTCTCCACTCCTGGGGGTTCCAGCAACTGGTATTTGCAAGCATTGCAGGCAGAGCAGAGCCAGGCTGGCCAGCCGCCATCAATAGCCCTCTCTCTTCCTCCGTGAATCTGTCCCATCCTCTTTTAAAGCCATCACCGTCTCCTGTGGCAAGGAGTTCCACAGTTTAACCCTGGTCTGCATGAAAAGATTCCTTTTATCTGTCCCGAATCTTCCAAAACTCAGCGTCAGTGCATGTCCAAGAATTCTAGTGTGATGAGAGATGGAGAAAAGCTGTTCCCTGCCCTCTCTCTCCATTCCAGGCCCCTTCCTAAGAGCATAATAACAGTGTGTTGGATCTACAAAGGAGGAATGGATTTGTAAACTCAATGAATGTTTAGTTTTGGCAAAATTAACTGCTATAATAAGAAATCAGTCGAATCAAAAATTTAAAAAAGGAGTGGAAATGTTTTGATGAATATATGGCAAAATATTGCTAAAAAAAAGATACGCTAATATGCCTAGATTAAAATGTGAAGTACTGGATGGAATAAAAATTAGTAAGGAAAGATAACAAGAATATATAGATGATTTGAGAAGATTGTAGAATGCAACGATTATTGTAAATTGTATAATGTGGAGGAAATTGAGGGGGGTGGAGGGAAGTGGGAGGAAGGAGAAAAGAATAATATGATGGATTGAGGATTGAGGAAATATAAATGTAAATGTATGGGGAGGAAATGGTGTTGGTTTTGGTACATCTGCATTGTAATGTAATATATGAAAACCAATAAATAAATAAATAAATAGGTAGGTAGGTAGGTGGTGCTGTGGGTTAAACCACAGAGCCTAGGACTTGCCGATCAGAAGGTCAGCGGTTCGAATCCCCGCGATGGGGTGAGCTCCCCTTGCTCCGTCCCTGCTCCTGCCAACCTAGCAGTTTGAAAGCACACCAGTGCAAGTAGATAAATAGGTATCGCTCCGGCGGGAAGGTAAATGGCGTTTCCGTGCGCTGCTCTGGTTCGCCAGAAGAGGCTTGGTCATGCTGGCCACATGAACAGGAAGCTGTACACCGGCTCCCTTGGCCAATAAAGCGAGATAAGCGCTGCAACCCCAGAGTCGGCCACGACTGGTCCTAGTGGTCAGGGGACCCTTTACCTAGGTAGGTAGGTAGGTAGGTAGATAGAAAGAAAGAGAGAGAGAGAGAGAGAGAGATGATAGATAGATGATAGATGATAGATAGATAGATAGATAGATAGATAGATAGATAGATAGATAGATAGATAGATAGATAGATAGATAGATAGATAGATAGATGATAGATAGATTAGATAGATAGATAGATAGATAGATAGATGATAGATAGATGATGATAGATAGATAGATGATGATAGATAGATGATAGATAGATAGATAGATAGATAGATAGATAGATAGATAAGATAGATTAGATAGATAGATGATAGATAGATGATAGATAGATAGATAGATAGATAGATAGATAGATAGATAGATAGATAGATAGATAGATAGATAGATAGATGATAGATAGATAGATAGATAGATAGATAGATAGATAGATAGATAGATAGATAGATTAGATAGATAGATAGATAGATGATAGATAGATAGATAGATAGATAGATAGATAGATAGATATAGATGATAGATAGATAGATAGATAGATAGATAGAATAGATAGATAGATAGATAGATAGAATAGATAGATAGATAGATAGATAGATAGATAGATAGATGATAGATAGATAGATAGATAGATAGATAGATAGATGTAGATAGATAGATAGATAGATAGATAGATGTAGATAGATAGATAGATAGATGATAGATAGATTAGATAGAATAGATAGATAGATAGATAGATAGATAGATAGATAGATAGATAGAAGAATAGATAGATAGATAGATTAGATTAGATAGATAGATAGATAGATAGATAGATAGATAGATAGATAGATGATAGATGATGATAGATAGATAGATAGATAAGATAGATGATAGATAGATAGATAGATAGATAGATAATAGATAGATAGATAGATGATAGAAGATAGATGATAGAATAGATAGATAGATAGATAGATAGATAGATAGATAGATAGATAGATAGATAGATGATAGATAGATAATGATAGATAGATAGATAGATGATAGATAGATAGATAGATGATAGATAGATAGATAATAGATAGATAGATAGATAGATAGATGATAGATGAAATAGATGAAGATAGATAGATAGATAGATAGATAGATAGATAGATAGATAGATAGATAGATAGATAGATAGATAGATATAGATGATAGATAGATAGATAGATAGATAGATAGATAGATAGATAGATAGATAGATAGATAGATAGATAGATAGATAGATAGATAGATAGATAGATAGATAGATAGATAGATAGATAGATTAGATAGATAGATAGATAGATGATTTAGATGATAGATAGATAGATAGATAGAGGAGAAATAGATAGCATAGATAGATAGATGATAGATAGATAGATGATAGATAGATAGATAGATATAATAGATTAGATAGATGATTAGATGATAGATAGATGATAGATAGATAGATTAGATAGAGGTAGGATAGATAGATTATAGAGAGATGATAGATAGATAGATAGATGAGATAGATAGATAGATAGATGATAGAATAGATGATGATAGATAGATAGGATAAGTAGATATGATGATAGATAGAATTAGATAGATAGATAGATATGAGATAGAATAGATGACTAGATAGATAGATGATGATGCAGATAGATGATATGATAGATAGATAGATAGAATGCATAGATTAGATAGATAGATAGATGATAGATAGATAGATGATAGATAGATAGATAGGATAGATAGATAGATAGATAGATAGATAGAATAGATTAGATAATGATAGATAGATAGAATGATAAATAGATGATAGATAGATAGATGATAGATAGCATGATATATAGATAGATAGATAGATGATAGATAGATGTAGATAGATTAGATAGATAGGATAGATAGATAGATGATAGATGATAGATAGATAGATAGATAGATGATAGATAGATAGATAGATTATGATAGATAGGTTATGAAAAAAGAATGTGTTGGATCAGGCCACAGGGGGCCCATCTAGTCTAGGCATCTTAACTCTCCCACTGGCCAGGTCAGATGCCGATTCATGGGAGACCCACAGGCGGTATCCAGGCACAAGGAGTCCTCTCCCATGTTTCCTGGAACCGAAGGTATCAGGAAACATTTCTGCCCGAGGGCAGAGCATAGGCCTTGTGGCTCTTGGTCTCCTTTGACAGACCTCTCCT